CTACATGATTATTAAACAATCAAATCTATTATTATAGACTATTAAATTCATATTTATCATGTGATAATAGTCATATTGTAGTTTTAGTATTGTTCTTTAATTGCAACTCTCGCTAAATACACACTTTAAAGCTGGTTTTGACAACATATATTTAGGAAAATCTGACTGTAGTAATAGGAAAGAAAGAAAATAATCATACAAGATTTCTAGAAATATGATTAGCAGTGAAGAATAAGCTTAGTCAGATAAAGAATATTATTAGAAAAAAAGTAAATATGATGACAAGACACAGCAAAAAGAAAATATTTCTAGTACATATAGTATATATAAACAATATAATTTTGTTATTAAAAATAAAATTTAGAGTATAATTAAAAATTTTACTAAAGACTAAATATGACCAACTACAAAACTCTATAATAAAGATCATAAAAAACAAAACCAGAATGTCAATAATAACCTTAAATTCTATGATAAGCTACAAAAAGATTACAGAGATGCAATCAATCTGGCAGAGACAGATAATATATCACTTACAGAATTGCTTGTGAGACTGAATAATAAACAAGAAATAGAAGAAACTATAGTTAAGACTTAAAAAGTATAAATAGATCTGAGGGTCAATAGTGCAGTGGTTAGTGCTTTCAAGTTATAGTTCGCAAGATCGTGGGTTCAAATTCAACTGGAGGACAAGACTCTGTCAGAATCACAACTAAAAGAATCTTCAAGAGGATATTTTCTATGTAAAGAAGAAACAGAATTCATACGTGTAGAATGCAGTTTGTCAGTATAATCACAGGGTTGAGAATAATCAGATAAGGTAAATTTGTTAACAAATAATGTAAAAATTGAGTAAATCTAGCTTAAGAATATAGTGGTACTAACCTAATGAAAGAAAGAAACTATAGAATTTGATACTCAGAGGTCTTTGCTCACACCTGAAATAGAAGAATAACTGAAACCTTAAGCAGACCAAAAACCAGCAAGACAAGTATCTAAGTGATATAGAATGGATTACTGAAAGAAGGACTAGATAAAGCTGAAACCGAAAATACCACCGGCAGGCAGGGAGATAAATAAAGGAGTACTCGGAGGACTGAGTAAAGATTAAGGAGGTACAGATAATATAGAAATAGGAAAATTACAATATATAAAATGTAATCCAGATTTATAAATAAAAGAGCATCACACAGGCTCGATAATGGTAATATTGTCAGTATAAAATAAAAAAAAGTATAAATAGATTTAAGAAATTAGAATTAGAAGTAAAAAAATTAAACAGAACCAAATTACAAAACAATTTAAATTTGCAGATCTTAAAAAAGGTCAAGAAGCTAGAAATCTCATTTAGATCAAAAAAATTTTAAAAAAACCTAAAACTAGTTGAAAAAAAACCGAAATTGCAAATATGCTAGAAAAAAAAGAAAAACAGAAATTCTTACAATATAAGAAGAACTATAATATCTTTGTATTAAAGCAGCTAATAAACCAAAGCAACTAATGAATAATAGCATAAGAACAGTTAAAAAGATACAGTGAAACTAAAACAAAAGACAAAAAAACAAAATAGTTTTAGAAGCTAGAAGAAGAAAAGATTGAAAATAATACAACTAGAATAATTAAGAGAAAATATCAAAAAGATAGTTTAAATAGCTTAAGTATAAGAGTAACTTTAGCCAAAATAAAAACAGATAGAAGATTTAAAAAAATAGATTCTACTAGAAAAGAAAAAAAATATTATAAGCTTTGAAAAAATAATTTATAAATATAACAAAAAAAGAAACCATATAATATAGAACATTGGGTAAAATTAGAAATCAATAAAAGCAACAAACTTAGAATCTAATAATATGAAAAGTATAACAAAAATAAAAACAAGAACTAAGAAAGCAAATATATATTTACAAGAAAATTTCAAAGCAATAGAAAAATATTAAAGAAAGATTGGATCAAGATAATACTAAATGGTGATGAAATATATAAAATAAAACTTAAGTCAAAAATGTTGGATTGGAAAGAAGAAACAAAAAGAGAAGAGATAAAAGATACTCAAGGTTAAAGATAAAAGACAAGATTATTATAAGAATGCTAACAGAGAAAATGATCAAAAACCAAATAGAAGAAAAAGTACAAAAGAAACTGTTAGCAGTTGCTCAAAAATTACAAAATACTAAGAAAGTAGATTTCTATGTAGATAGCATTTTACAATTTATTATAAGTAATAATATAATAAATATTTAAAGATTAATTAGTCTAAATATTGTTTAAATATATGATTTTTATTTTATATAAATTATATAATCAATTTTGTATATACCAAATGGCAGATTTTGGAAGATTTTGTTTAGTATAGAGTAAGTTCATTATATAGTTTACTTTATCTATACTGAATAGTTTGGTATATAATATCACACTTACTGTATATAGATCATTTTAATTTTTGTAATTTTTTTTTTGAACTTTGAAAATATCTCGGCACTCACCTGACCAAATTAAATCAACTTTTTTATCCAAATTCTTCTGTTTTCTACAGGTGAGTGTTGGGATATCTTCGATTAAAGTTTGAAAACAATTTTTGTCGCAGCTTATATTTGAGACATTCTAGAATTTTATAAAACTTTGATCGAAGATATCTTGCCATCCACCTGATCAAATTCGATCAACATTTTATTTGAATTCTATTGCTTTATACAATTAAAACAAAAAAGTTGATCGAATTTGATCAGGTCGGTGTTGAGATATCTTCGATCAAAGTTTGAAAACAAATTTTGCCGCGGCTTATATTTGATAGATGGTTTAGAATTTTACAAAGTTTGATCGAAGATATCTCGACACCCACCTGATCAAATTCGATCAACTTTTTTTATTCGAATTCTACTGCTTTCCACAATTAAAACAAAAAAAAGTTGATCGAATTTGATCAGGTGGTGTCGAGAAAACAATTTTGTCGCAGCTTATATTTGATAGACGTTTTAGAATTTTACAAAACTTTGATCGAAGATATCTCGCCATCCACCTGATCAAATTCGATCAACTTTTTTTTATTTGAATTTTTACTGCATTCTACAATTAAAATAAAAAGGTTGCTTGAATTTGATCAGGTGGGTGTCAAGTTGTCTCCGATCAAAGTTTATAAAAAATTATAAAAATTAGTATGGAAATATCAATTTCCTTTTAATGTTTTTTTTTAATAACTTATTTAAAATTTTGATTTTATTTAAGCAATGTTTTTTTATTAATTTAAAAAATGTGACGGAAAATAATTATAGCTAGGAGAAATAATATCGTGGGAATCGTTGTGATGGGTGGTGTGTTGGGAATAGCTATAGGGAACGGTTGTTGGAAGAATGTTGTCGGGGAGTTTTGTGTGGGAAAGAGTGATTGTTGGGGAAAGGGGATATGGTTATCGGGGAAGGGTGATTGCCAGGTAAATGGTTATCAGGTAAGTGGGGATGGGTAGTTGTCGGTAATTTTCAGATAAATAGTCATTGGGTAGGTAGCTTTGTCAGTAAGGGTTTGTTGTTGTTGAGAAAGGGATTGTTAGAGAAACGGTTGTTGCCGGGAAAATGATTGTCAGGGAATTGGTTGTCGGAGAAGTGCATCACAATAGTTTATGCTAAATTAAGCACAAGCAGATTTGTCTTATGCTTTACATATAATCTTAATTTCGAAAAAGTTTCGGAATTTTGGCATAGTATTGGACTTTGGGGTTTTAGTTTCGGGCAGAGTGTTAGAGTTTCGGTTTCGGTTATTGGCCCATAATAGTTTCGGGCAGCATCATTACTTTTGAACCAAAAGTTGGTTCAAAGAACCCAATTCGGGTTACTTTTAAACCAAAAGTTGGTTCAAAGAGCCTGATTAAAGTTACTTTTGAACCAAAAGTTGGTTCAAAAGAACCCAATTCGGGTTACTTTTGAATCAAAAATTGGTTCAAAAGAACCCAATTCGGGTTACTTTTGAATCAAAAATTGGTACAAAAGAACCCAATTCGGGTTACTTTTGAACCGAAAGTTGGTACAAAAGAATCCAATTCGGGTTACTTTTGAAAGTTGGTACAAAAGAACCCAATTCGGGTTACTTTTGAACCAAAAGAACCTCATTCGGGTTACTTTTGAACAAAAAAAAAACCCAATTCGGGTTACTTTTGAACCAAAAGAACCCCATTCGGGTTACTTTTGAACCAAAAAAAAAACCAATTCGGGTTACTTTTGAGCCAAAAGTTGGTACAAAAGAACCCAATTCGGGTTACTTTTGAACCGAAAGTTAGTTAAAAAAATCTAATGATTTGATTGGGCTATATTATAGACTACCCCAGTATCGCCATCAAATTTTCACCCCACGTGATCATTGACCAATTAATGATCCTGATTTAGTGTAACGT